AGGGCTGCAGACAGGACCAGAGTGGGCACCCAGAGTCCCCTTTCACATGTGCTGCCACCAGTCACCCCTCTAGCCCCTGAGCAGGGGTCTGAGAATGTGCCAAGCATCCCACTGGCCTGGGCCAGGTGGGCCTGTATATAGGGTCCGTGTGCAATAGGGAGGGATGTCTTCTATTTTTTGCTGCCCCCTCCCCAATGCTGTCCCGGGCAAGGGGAGAAGGTATTTTTGAGACATGGCAGAGGCACCACAAATAAAAGTAGTGAAGTTGCCAAAAAAGAAGCGGGCTGGATGGCCAAGCCCCACCATAATAGGCCCACAGCCCTTCCCTGCAACTGCCTGCCCTTGATCGCACCCCCCCCACCCCAATAGGGGGCAGAGCCGGCCAGCCAATCTCCTGTAGCCCCTCACCCTGTCGGGCCCCACCCCAGATCAGCCCCCTCACCCCGATCAGGGGCAGGGCTGGCCAGCCAACCACCCATGGCTCCTCCCCCAAGCTGCTGGCCCCTGATTGGCACCCCCCCACCCCATTCGGGGGCGTGGCTGGCCAGCCCACTGACCATAGCCCCTCCCCATGGCCAACCCTGGCCCCAATCAGGCCAGCAGGAGGGGCATTTTGGGGGCGATCAGGCTGGCAGGGGAGGGGGCAGTTGGGGGCGATCAGGCCAGCAGTTGGGGGCAATCAGGCAGGCAGGTGAGTGGTTAGGAGCCAGTGGTCCCGAATTGCAAGAGGGATGTCTGACTGCCAGTGCGGGATCGAGCCTAAACCGGCAGTCTGACATCCCCCAAGGGGTCCCGGATTGGAGAGGGTGCAGGCTGGGCTGAGGGAACTCCCCCCCACCCCCGCATGGATTTCATGCACGGGGCCTCTAGTACATTTATAAGGATGACCTGGGGTCAACAAGAAGTTAGAACTGAATTTGATATACCATGCTTAAGAAAGCAGGGAAATGTGTACTACATTTAAAAAAGATTTTCATCAAAAGGTGGTTAAGGTAAGTTTCATGATTTAAGTACACCACATCTGAAATATCTAAAATGGAGCTCATTCCCTCATAACCCTAGGTGACTGGTATTCCTATAAACATTCTGTTAACTTACTTCTTTATTAATGCTCCTATTATTTGTCTCAGTGTTACTGAAAGACTGCTTACTCATATGTTGCAAAGATGCTTTAGCACTTCTCTGTCTCTTCTACTACTCTGTCCTGCCTGTACCATCAGAGTCTGCTGTTAATCATAATTTGATTCTTCTAATCTCCACAATGCTGCATCTTCTAATCTCTGCCAGCCCTTTTGCAATCTATTACAGAGTTTCCTTTTCTTTTTTAATTCCTTCCTTTTGGTCACTGATTCCCATCTTTCTTGAGCTTGTATTGAGCTGCTTGGCTTTTATAATTTTCATTGACAGTGAGAGTCCAAATATATCCAGTGGGTATGTCTATATCAATATTTGGGTCTTCTCAGTTATTTTCCTGATTGTCAATATTTCCTTTTTTACTGTTAGAAATAGCTTCTTTGCTTTTTCTTTCCTTACTTCTTTAAAGATGAACAAGCTACTATAGTTCTAAAATCCTGGCATTGCTAGAAATCTGAACTCCACAAAACAAAAAGTGCTATGTACCTACTAATTTTACATAGGGTAGAACAGAGTACTTGCTTCAATTGATACTAATGATTTTAATTCACTGTTAATCTGTACTCTTGTGATTAAATAAGTTAATCAGTATAAAGTGTTATTATTTTGTACATTGGTGTTACTATTATTGTTACTATTATTAGGATCACTAATCTGAAAGATGGTCAAATTCCTATTTTTAGAATGGCTAAAGCACACAAAAAAATAAGTAAAACCATAAATTTTGTAAATATGTTAATTATCCTATATAATAAAAGGGTAATATGCAAATTGACCCTAACAGCAGAACGACTGGGAATGACTGGTCACTATGACACACACTGACCACCAGGGGGCAGACGCTCAATGCAGGAGCTGCCCCCAGGTGGTCAGTGCACTCCCACAGGGGGAGCTCTGTTCAGCCACAAGCCAGGCTGATGGCTGCCAGCACAGCGGTGGTGGTGGGAGCCTCTCCCACCTCAGCAGTGCTAAGGATGTCCGACTGCAGCTTAGGCCTGCTCCCCGCTGGCAAGTGGACATCCCCCGAGGGCTGCCGGGCTGCCAGAGTGATGTCTGACTGCCAGCTTAGGCCCAATGCCCTGGGGAGCAGGCCTAAGCCAGCAGTGGTCATCCCCTGAGGGGTCCCAGACTGTGAGAGGGCACAGGCCGGGCTGAGGGACCCCCCTGAGTGCACAAGTTTTTGTGCACTGGGTCTCTAGCTTTTTATAATAAGATAAAAGCCCTAGCTGGTGTGTCTCAGTGGATGGAGTGTCAGCCTGCACTGAAGAGACAGAGGAGTGTTAAAGCATCTCTGCAACATATGAGTAAACAGACTTTCAGTAACACTGAGACAAATAATAGGAGCATTAAAAAAGATGTTAACAGAATGTTTATAGGAATACCAGTCATCTAGAGTTATGAGGGTATGAGCTCCGTTTTCTGTAAATGGATTTCCTAGATATTTCATGAAACTTACCTTAACCACCTTTTGATGATAATCTTTTTTAAATGTAGTACACATTTCCCTGCTTTCTTAAGCATGGTATATCAAATTCAGTTCTAACTTCTTGTTGACTGAAGGGTCCCAGGTTCAGTTTCAGTCAAGGGCACATGCCCAGGCTGTGGGCTCAGGAGGCAGCTGGTCAGTGATTCTCTCTCATCACTGATGTTTCTATCTCTCTCTCTCTCCCTCTCCCTTCCTCTCTGAATCAATAAAAAGTATATATTAAAAAAAAAAAGATAAGCAAGTAAGCATTTATTGACCTAGTATTCAGGAAGTTCTCTCTTTGGTTACATAAAATCAGGGAGAGGAGAGGTTTTGCTTCCAGATTTTATATCAAAATAAGAACACTCCTAGAGGAGAAACTGCTTTCTTCAGTCATTCTTTCTTGAACACTCCTTCTTCCCCCAACTTCTCTACATGTTCCCACACTGATCCCACTGACTGCACAGTGTTACAACAGTCTGTGGATTTCTTTGTATCTTCCTACTAGATTGTATGCTTCCTGGAGGGCAAAGACTTATCCTCAGCTCTACACCCAACCCATTTTAGAGGTATAAAAATATTGGTTGAATAAATTAAGTGAAATTGTTCTTTTAATACATCTTACAGATTTATTTCTTTTTATCAGCAGAAAGATTATGATTCTTTAAATTGTAATTGTCACAGATTTTTTTAATAAAATAATTATGTTTTTAGTATTTAAAATAATATATGAGCATAGTGTCATCTTTTTTAGGAAACCTTACTGGGCACAGAGCAATCTGCTTAGAATAACAAATATGACCCCATAAAATTGATCTCTTTCAAAGTCTCATAGACTGAGCTACTTAAAGTGGAATGTAAGTTAATAAGTATAAAGTGTTATTATAGCTTGCAATTCATTCATTATAGCTTGCAATTATTAAATTTGTTTGTTTACATATTCCTGTATCTGGCTCTCTAATTAAAATGTAAATTTCACTTGTGTCTGTCTCACTCACTATTTTACACCCAACACCTAGTAGAGTACCTTGCATATAAGAGATTCTGAATATACTGTATTCCATCAATTCTAAGATACACATTGTTTTATTATACAACTCTCAAAAATCAGTATATATTTTATATTTTATGGCATCTTGGCATTCTATCATAGTTTAAAAATAGAAGTGTTCTTAGTAGTAAATAAAATAATGGTATGTATTATGATCAATGGCATGTTAGACTTTATGGGGCATGGTTACAGTGTTTTGGCCAGGTCCAAGCCTTGGACTAATGAAAGAACAGGGTCCTCTCATTGCCACGTGCAAGTCCCAGCTGGAGGGCAGGGCCCTCCCAGCGCAATTATAGCCAACAGCTATAGTTGTAAGCTTGAAGCTTGAACCTAAACACGTAGCCCCACGTGCCTTGTGCTAGAGTTCAGGTGCATGTAGTTGAGTAGGGTTGAAACTCACGAGAATGCTGTAAACAACGTGATCACGCCCCTACTTTGCCTCGTGGCATCTGCTATAAAATAAAGACACGGCTTGTGGGCGCTGGCGCTGTCTCCTCATCAGGGAGCAGCATCCCACCAAGACCCAGCTTTCATTCTCTTATCTGTCTTTCCTTAATCCTTTCACCCTCCCCCCCCCCCCCACTCAGTTTACCTTTGGCCGCAACAAGACTTTATGAAATAAGATATATTATTTAAATGGAAAAATGATGACGTTATATAACTATCTAAAAACAGTTAGAAGGTAAGTAAGAGGACAAAAGTAAACCAGATGAAAATAAGCTACTACTGCTAGTTTAAGGTTGCCAGATAAAATACAAGTCATCCAGTTAAATTAGAATTTCAGATAAACATCAAATAATTTTTTACTATAAATATGTTCCACAGAATATGTGGGATATACTAATACTAAAATTATTAACTGTTTATCTGAAATTCTAATTTAACTAGTGTCCTGTATTATTAATTACTAATTCTGGCAACACTACGTTGGTTAGAGATACAAAGTAGTTTTTCATTTTATAAACGCATTACATAAAGTATTGAGTCTTAGGTACTTACCTTCATATAGAAAGGAAACAGTCAAGTATTAATATGCTAGTGGCCTGGGGCACGGATTCGTGCACATTGAAAGGAAATTAATTAGAAGAAATATTTTAATATAGCTATTCACCCTTTCTCTACAATAGAAGTGTCAACCAAATTCACGATCGACAATGACAGATCGAAACACACGCATGCGACTGGTGCCAGCAAGAGCTTTATAAGTATCACGTGTGTGCAAGTCAACTTAGCCTTTTATATATATAGAATAAACTTGCTTACTTAGACCTACTTTCTGATTTAGCTAAACTTTTTCCAGCCCAGTGAAGCACCCCAACTTCTCTTTCAGGTAATTGTCAGCAACACAGCAGTAAATATCAACATGAAGCAGATTATTATTGTAGACTAGAGGCCTGGTGCACAAAATTTGTGCACTGGGCAGGGGGAGAGGGTCCCGCAGCCTGGCCTGTGCCTTCTTGCAGTCCAGGACCCCTCAGTGGACATCACTCTTGCAGTTCAGAAGACCCTCACTCCTTACTGCCTGCCTCCTCACTGCTCCTTAGCAGTGCTGTGGAGGCGGGAGAGGCTCCCGCCACTGCTGCTGCGCCCACCAGCTGTTAGCCTGGCTTCTAGCTGAACGGCGCTCCCTCTGTGGGAGCGCACTGACCACCAGGGGGCAGCTCCTGCATTGAGTGTCTGCCCCCTGGTAGTCAGTGCACATCATAGCGACTGGTTGGACAAATGGACATTTAGCCTTTTACATATATAGATTACGCAGGGAGAACAAAGGGTAAAATATTTAACTGCAGCAGTATTTGACTATATTCTGCGCAGTGAGAAAACCTGAAGTCATTTTCAAGGTCCACCATTTCTTACTTATTTTCAGTCAGGTCAAGTTCCTAAACTTTCTAAATCTCCGTTTTCTGGCTAATGAAAAGAAAACGGGGGTTCCACTGAGTCTCCTATTTACCTACCCCAGGACTTCTGCAAGGATCAAATGAGATGAGGCATGGGAAAATGCTTCACAGACATTTGGTGAAAGTGTGAAATGTTTGCACCTAACTATAAAGCAAGTGGTGTTCCTGGGCTGAAGAAACTGCAAGGAGGCTAGTTCTCACTAGGGAGAGGAAACCAGGCGTTGCTATGTGACGTCATTACCAAGCGCCCACAGTGACCGTTTCCGGGCAGGGCTGGGCTGTGGGACGCATTTATCGCCATGGGGTCTCGGCAGCATTGGCTGCTATTTGGTGAGCTGTCGCTCTGGGGTGGTGGCAGGGCCCTTGTCCCACTTGGGGGAAGCCAAGTGTTGCTTTGTGGGCGCCAGGTCCGCAGAGCTGTTTCTCTGTTAGTGGCTAGTGTGCATCATGGCAGCTCCTGCGTTGAGCGTCTTCCCCCTGGAGGTCAGTGCGCGTTATAGTGATCAAACGGTCGGACACTTAGCATATTAGCCTTTTAAATATATAGATATTATATGTTATGGAATAAATTTTTGTAATTAGAGAAAAAAGAATTCTACACTTGTTTCAGTATTATCCTAGCAATTTAAAAATCCTCATCAAAGTCCAGAATATCCTTGAAATTTACAACCTGATCTATTTTCTTACCTCAGCGTAAGCTTTGGCCCATGTACTTGCCAGATGATGTAAATCTACTTCACCTGATTTCACAGCTTCCAGCGATGCTTCAGCCTCTCTATCATAATCTCTGAGGGATTCTCCTTCTATAAACTGGCTCAGAGCTTCTTTTAAGTCTATATCAGGGTCAAGAAATGCTATCATCAGCAAAATCCAGACAAAAACAGGAAACATTTTACCTAAGCATTCCAATGTCAAATTTTATTTTATCAAGTACAATGTCTAAATAAAATAAAATAAATGTAGGGGATCATTTATCTACTTCACAACCATTTTTCTTTTTTAAAAATATCTTTATTATTGAAAGTACTACAGGCCCAGGGCGCAGGCTGCTAGTAGCTCACACCACCGCGCCCTGCCCTGCCCCACCCCACCTGCCAAGAGAACCACTGCTCATGGGCGAGGGGAGGGGAGGAGGGACCGAGAGGTGCTCAATGCACCTCCTGGTGGTTGTTATGGTGTTACGACATTACGGCCATGGGCCTTTTATAATATAGATTACATGTCCCCTTTTTTCCCCCATCGATCCCCGCCAACCCCCTCCCCCCCCTCAGGCCCTCACCACCCCACTGTCTACGTCCCTGGGTTATGCATATATACATACAAGGTCTTTGCACAACCATTTTTCTTTACTATTACAGGTTACTACATGGACAATGGTCAAAATTCTTGACTCATGTATAACCTTGATACTAATTTGAAATGTTAATTTCTTAAGCCTGATGTTTCAGTTTGAAACTGAGTTGGTAAAATCACATACAGAAAAACTTCTACAGATTTCAAGGGTTTGAAGGTTGCTGTACTTATATGAAAAAATTTCCTATATATGCACTGTTACATTCTTTGAATTTGAAGAAATTAAATAATTAGTGTATTAAAACTGATGTAGTTCAGATGCTGTATAAATCCAATTTTAGAGACAATACTTAAAAAACAGATATAATGGAAAGAGCACTGGGATATAAGTTAGTATGCCTGTGTTCTGTCCACCACGTTACATTAGACCAGTGGCATGCATTATTAGAATGCCCTAGAGGGCTTACTGAAGTAGCTTGCTGCATGCTACCCCCAGAGTTTCTGATTCAGCAAGAATGGGGTGGGGCTCAAGAATATGCAATTCTAACAAGTTTCCAGGTGATGCTACTGCTCCTGATCGGGGAACAACTTTTGAGAACCACTGCCGTAGGCAAATATTTTAACCTTTTTATTTGCAGATTTCCTTACCTGTACAATGAAATAGTGCTAGAAAGTTTTCAGGTTCCCTAACTCTAACTTTCTATGATCCAACACATTCTCAATTAAATTTTTTTCTTCATCTGTGAGGTAGAACACAGGCTTTTAAAATGGTTTAATACAGATGACTTCATGGAATTAATTTAGGCAAGCAAAAATTATTCAACGATTTATATTCCTTCTCTTCCATGACATCTCAGGAACTGAGAACCAGATCATTAAAGGGGCAATGCATTTAGCAATATAATTCTATAATAACTGACAGCTGAAGTGCCTTATGAATTCATCCAACTAAGAGGTTAAAAGTTCTATTCCAGACTTGGTAACTAATTTTTCATTATATAATTTAATTTTTATACTAACCTGCCTTATCAACAACTACAAGTTATAGGAAAAAGCACTAAATAAAACAAAGGTCTGGGGAATCTTTTTATTCTTAAAAGCAGTTAACCACTTTATATTTTATGGTTCTTTCCAATGCTTCTTAGTTTTATGCTTTCTAATATGAAACTTTTAATGTCAGAGACTCTAGATAAACAACAAAATAGTATTAAAAAATCAGTCCTCACCTTTTTCTATAAAGCATGGCAAGCTGTGCAGCAGCATCAGGCGCCCATGTAAGTAACTGACATTCTCTTGAACAGGAAATTTGAGGGGCACCCTCAGTTCTAAGCACTGACTTCCTATTTTGAATTTATACACAAATTCCCTCTCTCTGCTACAGAATCTTTCTCTGTTTTTCTTCATCTTCTTTGGCAGGATATCTGTAGAACTAACAAAAAAGCAGCACGTTATAAGTTCATAAAAACATGCTATACCACATTGTCGCTCTACCACTTCTAAGAAAATGTTCCACTACTCAGAGATTTTATTTGTGTGACTCGAAGCCAATTATTCTAGTTTTTCCTACTTTTATCCTTGTGTTTTCATCTTTGTGGTGAAAATATAGTGCACCTTTTAAAAAGGAGGACAGTTTCTTTTAAGCTTTATTTAAGGAAAAATATGCCCATAGAGAACTTTGCATTCCTAGGCAGGATTCTCAAGAACAACAACAACAAAAAGAACAGGGAGAAAAGAGCAGAGAGGAGTCTGGGATAGTAGAATTGATGGAACAGTTGGTGAATACAAAATCAAAGAAACAGCACAGCCGGCTTGGTTCAGTGGTGGAGCGTCGACCTATGAACCAGGGGGTCAGTTAGATTCCCGGTCAAGGCACATGCCCAGGTTCCGGCCCCATCCTCCTGTGGGGCTTGCAGGAGGCAACCAACCAATGATTCTCTCTCATCATCGATGTTTCTATATCTCCCTCTCCCTTCCTCTCTGAAATCAATAAAAATATATTTTAAAAAATCAAAGAGACAGATCAGGGACCAAGAAGTGATCTTGGAGATCTTAGATGGTCTATGAGATCAGATTGGGGGTAGAGGGAAGGGAGATGGGTGTTGGAAAGATTTTCATGTGGGAAGAAGATATACAGAAAATAGAAAATAAAAAAGATCCCACAAGGCAAACTGGATGCTGTTCAAAAAGAAGAAAATCTAGTAAAACAGAGTAAGAATCAACATCCTGTAGAGGTTTGTCAGCCTCCTTCCTAGACGTACAGTCTCTAGGCTTTTCCTCACCACATCAGTTCTGACACTATTCTGGGACAAAACAGAATACGGCACAAATCACAGTAACCTTTCCAACAAGTAGATACCTTGCTGTCACCTGCTTAGAACACTTTTATAACATTCCATTAGCCTTGGGATAAAACTCAAACTCCTTAACCCAGTTACAGTGCCTCTGCTAATATCTCCAGGCTTCTTCCTCCCCAGCACCTGCTTCCCAAAGACACAAGTTTGCTGAATGCTCTTCCCAACCTTTCTGAATGCTTTTCCTTTACCTAGAACACTCGTACTGCTCTTCTTTCCTTGGCTAAATATTTTTAGTAAATAATAACCATTAGCTTTAGTTTCAATCGGTTCAACATTTAGACTTGTTTCGGCAGATGATTATTTAGTGCCCTCTCCCCACTTTTTCTTTTAAAAAAAAAAATAACGCAGGGGTGAAATAAGAAAAGGATTCCCGTGCAAACATGGGATGGGAGGGGGAGGGCAGGACCGAACTCCCGCCGTCCACAGCGGAGATTCTGAGGGCAGACTGCGGGGCCGCGCAGCTCCGGCCGACCGAGGGGGCACAGCCGCTCTATTAGGGGGTTTCATTCTGAAGGGGCATCCCTGCTCTCACCTCTGGACTCAGCTCCCCACGTTTCTAAGTCCGAAGGGTCCGCACTCCGGGGCCTGTCAAGAAGCCACGGCACCGGGAACGTCAGCGGACCCGCTGACTGGTATTTACAGCCAGCCAATCCGCTTCAGCCGATTCGCGCGCACCTGTCCCCTACCTGGCACCCCGTAGAAAATTCCCCGATCTAAGTGCCCCCGTGTTCCACCATGCACCAGTGTAGTCATTCAAAAACTGTGAGAAGGTGTATTTCTACCGCTATTGTGTATGTCAGAGTCCGCGCAAAAGCCACCGTCGTGGCGAAAGCGTAGCAGCCCAGCACCAACTCGGCTCCGGCGGACCGGAAGCGGAAGGGCCCGGGCAGGAGAAGGGGTGAGCACTCCGCTCAGGACGCCTGCGCTTGCGCAAGGATGGCCGGCGGTCATTGGAGGACTGGTGGCGGGGGGCGGCGAGCTCGGGTCCGGATTTGGGCGGGAATTGAAACCGCCTCTGCTGCCCGAAAGCGCTTGATAGCTGCAAGTATCCAGCCTGGAAGGGAGCCATGGTGCGGCCTGTGAGGTGAGGGTTCGGGACGTCCGGCGGGGATGGGGAGAAAGAGCAGGAAGACCCTGTAGACCCGAGGGCCCAGTAGAACGGAGGTAGCGACGGTGGATGGGATTGACAGTTACTGGAAAACTCCCCAGCCTCCCTGAGGGCACCGCCCCCTCTATCCCCCCACCCCCCATTCCTCAGAAGTACCCTCTCAGTTTCCGTCTCCTTGCCTCCCCGCGTAGCTGCTGCCCTTTTTTTTTACCCACCCCATTCAAGTAAGACCTTGTTGTGGTAGCATCAGATCAGCGCTTTGCATCTCACCGAGCTCCTGCTTATTTCATTTGTTCTTCACTGTCGTTGTTTGGTAACCCTGTTTCATCGGTTTAAACTAGGCGCAAAAGCCAATGAACCCAAGTCACAAAGCTAGAGAGCGGCAGGATAATCCTCACACCTCACGCACCCGGCTCCAGATCCTCTGTGCTTTCCCTTGTATAGTATTTGAAACGATTCCTCTCCTTACCAGGTGAGGGCTAGGGTCAGCCATTCATTAAGTAAAGCTACGGAATATATTTACCTCTATGCATAACTGTACTAGGTGCAGGAGGTGACATTCAAGGGGCGAGGTTAGGGGGCCAGAAATCAACAGGGATAGGTGAGAAAGAGTGAGGAGGAAAGCCTTAATTGCAATAGGGTAACTAGGCTGTGCCTCCCCGAGGAGATGTTAGAAGAACTGAGGCCTGGATGCAAGAAGGATGTAGCCAGTGAAAATCCGGGGCAAGCCAGGGAGCAGAGCCCAGGCCCTGAGCTTGGCCCGTGTGAGGGACAGAAGGAAGGAAGGCCACGAAAGCGCTAGTATCCCCAGCAGTGGGGAGAATAGTCGGGGTTCGGTCAGAGAACGAGGCAGGGACCAGAGCAGGCAGGCCCCGTAGGCTTTCGAAAGGAGTGTGGACTGTATTTTCCGTGCAGTGGGAAGCCAACAGTTTTAAGGAGAGGAGAGAAATCTAATGTTGGCTCTCCACAGTTGGCTGGTGGAGAATGAATGGGAGACCAGGTAACCAGAAGGGGAGCAGGAGGACCAGTTAGGAGGCTAGCGTAGCATTGAATACTGGTTTGGGTTAGGGTGTTATTATCCGTGGACAGGGACTGGGACAGATGCATTTGGGATGTATTCTGGAGGTACTGTTGCCAAAACTTGCTGAGGAAGTTGATGGGGAGGTAAGGGAAAAAGAATCATGGATGACTTTACAATATTTTTGGTCTGAACTACTGAATATCTTTGTGCTACTGAGGTGGGGAAGACTAAGAAAAGGAACAGGGTCAGGAAGTGTGGGGCTCAGGGGTTCTGTTTTGGCCCGGCCAGTGTGGCTCGGTGGGTGAGCATTGACCTATGAACCAGGAGGTCATGGTTCGATTCCCAGTTGGCGTTTATGCCCAGATTGTGAGCTGGATCCCCAGTGTGGGGCATGCAGGAGGCATCCGATTGATGATTCTCTCTCATTGATGTTTCTATCTCTCCCCCTTCCTCTCTGAAATCAATAGAAATATATATTTTTTAGAAAGAGTACTGTTTTCAACATGTTAAGTTTAACATCCAAGTAACAAAGATTTGCGGACTCCTTCAGGTCCCTGGGATGTTCCCAGGAGCTCCATGAGGTTAAAACTATTTTCATAATCACACTAAGCCATTACTTGCTGTTTTTTATTGCTCTGTCATTTGCACTGCCAATGGTGGTCAAAGGGCTGGTGCCTTAGCACAAATCAAGGCAATGGCACCAAACTGTGGGAGTAGTCATTGTATTCCTTACTGCTACACACTCAGAGTAAAAAATAAATAAAAAATAGAAAATGCCAGTTTCAATGAAGAGTGTGTTTGATGACGCAATAAGAATTACATCATTACTAGAGGCCCGGTGCACAGATTTGTGCACCGGTGGGGGGGTCCCTCGGCATGGCCTGCGGGGATCGGTCCGTGGCAAGTGGCTGGGGAGGAGCCCGAGCCTGGTGCTGCGCCACTCCCGCTCATCCCGGCCCAGCTGCACCTGCCGCAGGCTCGCGCCCAGTCAGTCCCAATCCAGAGAGACTCACACCACCGCAGTGGTGCTCGCCAGTGTAGCAGCGCTCCCACTGTGGGAGCTCACTGACCACCAGGGGGCAGCTCCTGTGTTGAATGTCTGTCCCCTGGTGGTCAGTGTGCATCATAGCAACCGGGTGGATGGTCGAACGGTCAACCAGTTGCTTAGGCTTTTATATATATAGGTGGCTCAACCGTTGAGCATACTTTTTAAAAATATTTTTTTATTGATTTCAGAGAGGAAGGGAGAGGGAGAAAGAGATAGAAACATCCATAATGAGAGAGAATCATTGATTGGCTGTCTCCTACACACCCCACACTGGGAATCAAGCCCACAGCCTGGGCATATGCCCTGATTGAGAATCTAACTATAACCTCCTGGTTCATAGGTCTAAGCCCAACCACTGAGCCACACCAGTCAGGCTGAGCATACTTTTTTTTAAGTGTTGATTTTATTTTACTACTAGATGCCTGGTGCATGAAATTTGTGCACTGGCAGTCGGGGGGCTCCCTCAGCCTGACCTGTGCCCTCTCACAGTCCGGGATCTCTTGCTCCTTACTGCCCGCCTGCTTGCTGCTCCCTACCGCTCAGCTCGCTGCTCCTTAGTGCTGCCGCAGAGGCTCCAGCCACCGCCGCTGCACTTGCCAGCTGTGAGCTTGGCTTCTGGCTGAGCAGCGCTCCCCCTGTGGGAGCACACTAATGGTCCTACTTTGAGCATCTGCCCCCTGGTGGTCAGTTCATAGCGACCAGTCATTCCACTGTATGGTCAATTTGCATATTAGGGTTTTATTATATAGGATAGGATATTGAATGTGAACTGTAAATGAAAAATAAAATTTAAAAAAGAACCAAATAAAATTTTAGATATGAAAAATTTTTAATATATATATATATTTTTTTAATTCTTACCTGAGGATTTTTTAAAAATTGATTTTTAGAGAAACATCCATGTGACAGAGAAATACCAGTAGGCTGCCTCTGAACCTGCTGACCCACCAGGATCTAACCTAAACCTAAGTATGTGCCCTAACCTAGAATCCAACAGGAAATCCTTTGGTGTACAGGTTGAGACTCCAACCAATTGAGCCACCTGGCCAGGGCAGATCTGAAAAAAAATTTTTAATGTGCCTCCTGTCCCTGGTCGGTGTGGATCAGTAGTTAGAGTGTCCTTCCACGCACCAAAAGGGTCATGGGATTGATTCCAGGTGGGGGCACATACACAGGTTGTGGGTTCCATCCCTGTTGGTTTGCTTGGGCAACTGATTGATGTTTCTTTTTCTCTTTCCCTCTCCCTTCCTCTCTCTCTAGAATCAATGAAAAAAAAACATATCCTTAGAGGAGGACTTAAAAAGAAAAAAAATGCTGCTTTGGTTCAGTGGATAGTACTTCTGCAGGCGAACTGAAGGGTACCGGGTTGGATTCTGATCAAGGGCACGTACCTGGGTTACAGGCTCAATCTGGGGCCCTGGTGGGGGATTCAGCAAGAAGCAATCAATTGATGTCTCTCACATTAGTTTCTGTCTTTCTCCCTCCCTTCTACTCTGTAAAAAAAAAAAAATCATTGCAAAAATGTCCTCAGGTGAGGATTAACCAAAACAAACAAACAAACAAACAAACACCCATCCCCAGTGTGATTACCCCAGTGTGATTACCCCAGTGTGATTATTGAAGGAGCATATGAAGTTTTTGTTGAATGAATGGGAAGGGATGGGACTTCACTTTCTAACTGTTTTAGCAACTCTCCAAGCCAGAGGGTTTATTTTTTTAATTTTTATTGATTATTTTAGAGAGAGGAAGGGAGCGAGAGAAACACCAGTGTGTTGTTCCACTTATTATGCTCTCTTTGGTTTCTTCTTGTCTGTGCCCTGACCAGTATCCAACCTGCAACCTTGCTGTATCAGGAGGAGGTTCTAACCCACTGTGCTGCGGGCTGCCTGTCAGGGCCCCTCAACAAAACCCCTCTGGCTGCCCTGGCCCCTGCTATGGGTCGGAGCTCCTCTGCCACAGCAAAGGTTTGGGTTGCATTCTGTCAGGGCACCTACTTAGGTTTCGGGTTTGATCCCTAGTTGGGGCTGACTGCTGCTCGGGAAGTGACCAAGAACTGTTGAGGTCCGTGTGCTCTAGTCATTCAGCAGGGAGCTGGGGTTCCATTGCCGACATGGCCGACTCTGATCCCCACTACCCCCGGTCGTCCATCGAGGATGACTTCAACTATGGCAGTTGTGTGGCCTCCGCCAGCCTACACATCCGCATGGGAAGGTCGCTTTCTCCGCGACTCGCCAGGCCTGGCTGCTGAGCAGTCACCCCAGGAGGCGGATTTCCGGGTTCCCAGGGAGAACACCCTCTGCACCGGACTCCCAGGGAAAGCGGGGTCCCGGAGGGAAAGCACTTTGCTCCGCCTCCCCTTGGGGCTCCCGGGCCAGAGCGCCTGTCCTGTGCAGGGCTTGGAGGGGAGAGCCGCCCCAGGGAGGCCTCCTAGCTGGGTGCTGAGAAAACGAAACTGGAGCCCTTCCTCCTTGAACCCTGTTGTCTTCAGTGTAGAAAGGGGACAGATGAAAGCCTCAGCAGCCATGCTGGGGGCATCTTTCAATGAAGATGTGTGTTTTTTTTCGGTGAAAATAAGTTTATTGTGTAATCAGTATTGTGATTTATTGTGTAATCGTTGTGATTACACAATAACCTTCATTGAGTTATCTGCTGGGATGTTTGTACTTTAGGGCATGTGAACACATTTTATTTTATTTGACGCAGCCTCATGTCCCCCTGCCTCGAGTGGCACGCAGCCACACCCACCCGTTCCTGCAGGTTATTACCCATGAGGGTGCCTGGCTAATTTGCATATTCCCCTATTATTATGCAGGATTATTCAATCTCAGAATTTCTATATTCAGCTCTCAAATTCTTTAATTCTAAAGAGTAGGAGAGTAACAAGAATATTCTTCATTTTAACATTCTGTATGAAGAAATTAGAAGTACGCGAAGAACACTTCTACAGTTGTCTTAAGGAAAACCACTTGTAAGATTGAGTTGTGAGCTGAATTAGTCTCTTTTTCATAGAAAACTGTTTTTACTTAAAAGAGCAACTGACATACTAGGTCATTCACACTTGGGAATTTGGCAGAGGACCATTTCATTTAGTGCCTAGAGGAAGGAAATTATTTTTTTCACATTTGTGTAAATGAAAAATTTCTGTGTTGGTTATAGGAATAAGAAGCCAGTCAATTACTCACAGTTTGAGAACTCCGAAAGCGATGGTATGTAGAGATTCTTATTTTGTTTAAAGTTTTGGAAATTTATTTCCTCAGAAATATATTGCATATGAGGTAGGTCTGGAAAAGTAATTTTCTAAGCATGTGGGATAATTATGCTGATAATTACATTGATGAGAATTATATAGGTAAGTGATAAATGAGAGGGCCAGGTAAAGTAGTTCTTTAGGTCAAAACTACTGCAAGTGCCTGTTTCTCAAAGTGAGGTTTGACTCTTCACTTTGGAGGAGAGACTGCTTTTTTTTTTTTTCACTGCATTTTTGTTGTTGTTGTTGTTTTTTGACACAAATGGGTTACAGAATATGAAGGGAAATTCCCATTAATTGTACAATAAAACAAGACCTTGAAGAAAGGTTAGGCTTAAGCTATACCCTGTTTATTTATCTCTCCTATTAAGGGAATTTTAGTCAAAACACAGACACAGACAACAGTGAACAGTGTGGTGATAGCCAGAGGGGAAGAGGGGTGGGGGCTAGGTGGAAGTGGGTAAAGTGGGGGGAAATGGGGACGGGAAGAAACTGCTTGGGGCAATGGGCACATGATGCAGTGTGCAGGTGATGTTTTATTGAGCTATCCATTTAAAACCTGTATGATTTTGTGAACCAGTGTCATCCCAATAAATTTAATTAATAAAAAGTGTTTGATAAATATGGGGTTAGACTACATTATACTTTGAAGCAGGTTTTGTATTTCTCAGACCATAAGAGATTTTTGTGAATCAAATACTTAGTTACTCTGAGGTTTGAAGGAATCTGTGTTTTGGGGTTTGTTTTTTTTGTCTTGGGCATAGCCTTAAGTAGGTCTAAGACTTAGGAGAAAATAATATAGAATAATACTAGAGGCCGGTGCACGAAATTGGTGCACGGGTAGGGCCCCTAGGCCTGGCCGGCGATCAGGGCTGATTGGGGCCTTTCAGCTGCCGGCCGGGGCCTCCCTTCCCCAGCTGCTGGCTGCCAGCCAAGGCCTTCCTTCATTCCGCACCGCCCTCTGGTGGTCAGCGCACATCATAGGGAGCGATCAGTCTCCCAGTTGAACTCCTGAGGGGATACTTTGCATGTTATCCTTTTATATCTATAATATAAAAGCCAAGTGACCAGAATGGCGGAACAACCAGTTGCTATGATGCACACTGTGGCAGCCAACCGGCCTGATGGGGGTCCCAATCAGTCCCCCTGCAACCTCCCACGGCCCCTCTCCCTGGCCAGCCCTGTCCCGATCGGCCCCCATCGGGCGGGCCAGCTGGACCTCACCTGTGCAGGAATTCGTGCACAAAGCCTCTAGTATATAGATAATTTGTAGCTTTTTATCACTCTCATCTATCTCACACGAAATATTTGTAAATTGCTGGTTGTGTTCCAAACATTATGGGGTAGGTGTGGGGGCAAGTCACAAGTTATTATATTCCTGCATGAGGAAGCATAATACATATAGCATCTAATCTAATAATAGACAAACATGGTAATTGACCGTACCTTCGCTATGCCTCCCATTGGCTAATCAGTGCGATATGCAAATTAACCGCCAACAAAGATGGCGGCTAATTTGCATACTGCAGGCAGGGCGGGCCAGTGCGAGCCACCATCCGGGCCCCCATGTGTCGCCTAAGCCCCGCCCCCAGCTGGGAGCCCCGTGTGCAGCCCGGGCGGGCGGGACCCCGTCTGCGGCCCTGGGCGGAGGGGCTTGGCAGCGTGATCGGCCCAAGGAAACCCTATTCTTGCAGGAATCCTCCTGAAACGGGCTTCTAGTATATTAATAAATACTAAGGTATATTATTAAGACTACATGTACCCTGAAAGTATGCATGCATGTGTCATGTGTAAGTTTAAAAGCTACAGCAGCAGTTTTATGTTGAGTACAACAGAGATATACCAGCTTTTTAGTGAATTGGTTTTTGATAGATTGACATTTTTGATAGATTGATAAAGTTTACTAAAACAAAATTAAACAGGAGTGAGAATAAAGACAAATAATATGCCAACAATATTTTTTAAATTGTAGAAATTAAATAATTTGCTTAACCTTATAATTTGAACACACACTATAATGAATTTCAACTGCTAAGAAAATAATTTTATTTATTTCTTACTTAGAAAAAGCAATTTTATATATTCTTTTATTTTTAATTCACACATAGTAGATGATGATGATTTTGTTTCTGCAACTGGACCTTTAAATAAGAAATCCAGAACACCAAACGAATTAAAACTAGAAAAACCAAAACCCAAATTGAAGAATCTCCAGAAAGAAGACATCCCATTACAAGAGAAAACTCCTAAAAAAAGGTGAGAGGTAAGACATGCAGTAAATATACAACTTTAATTTAAAAGAGAAACAAATGAAAAAAAATAAAATAAAAGGGAAACAAATGAGATAAGCCAGTCAGAGAAAGATAAATATCACATGATCTCACTCATTTGTGGAATATAATGAACAACATAAACTGATGAACAAACATAGAATCACAGACATAGAAGCATCAAACAGACTGTCCAACCTATGAGGGAAGGCGGGGGTGAGGGGGTAAGAGATCAACCAAAGGACTTGTATGCGTGCACATGAGCATAACCAATGGACACAGACAGTAGGAGGGTGAGGACATGTGCTGGGGGTGGGAGCAGCTGGGAAGAGATCAATGGGGGAGAAAGGAGACTCATGTAATATTTAAACAATAAAGAATTTAAATTTAAAAAAAAAGAGAGAGCCCTGACCGGTTTGGCTCAGTGGACAGAGCGTCGGCCTGCGGACTAGAGGGTCCCAGGTTTGATTCCGGTCAAGGGCATGTACCCTGGTTGCGGGCACATCCCCAGTGGGGGATGTGCAGGAGGCAGCTGATTGATGTTTCTCTCTCATCGCTGTTTCTAGCTCTCTATCCCTCTCCCTTTCTCTCTGTGAAAAATCAATAAAATATATTTTTTTAAAAAAAGAGAGAGAGAAACAGATTCAAACTCTTGGTTTAAACGAGAGCTTGAGCAGTCATAGGTATGATTTTATTTAGTGCCTGTAGGAGAACAGGGTTGTATTATTAATCCCCATCTGGCTTTCTGACTTAAAAAAGAAATTCACAGCCCTGACTCGGTGACTTATTTGGTCATCCCATACACCAAAAGGTTGCAGGTTCAAGTCCCAGTTCCCCATCAGGGGACATACCTAGTTTGTGGGTTTGATCCCAGGTCAGGGCACATAAGGGAGGCAACCAATTAATGTTTCCCATTCACATCAATGTTTCTTTCTCTTTCTCTCTCTCTCTCTCTCTCTCTCTCTCTCTCTCTCTCTCAAAATCAATAAAGCATATCCTCAGGTGAGGATTTTAAAAATACTTTTTAAAAAGAAATTCACAAGTATGTAAGCAAATATCCATTTAATTATTAAGGTAATCATACAAAGTTTGGTGGTTATAGTTTACTTTTATAGGACCTTGTACCTGTCTCTGAAGTCTTCAAGTTTTACAAGACTACTTTGTTAAAAATTATATTTGTAAGGACAGTTTTATAAAATTTAAAAACAGTTTTCAGCAGATAAAAGTTATTTTTTCTTTATATTGTTAAGACTTGTTCAGCAGTGAGAAAATCCTACAGTTTCTGTAGTATTTCTGAATTCCATTAGTTAGTACTGAGAGAGTTAGGGAAGTCCTGAGGGGCTCAAAACATGTTGTATGGAGAGTAGAAGGCCAGAAGAGGAATATTAACACATGAAAAATGGGGCATGTGATGGTTTATTGCTACAAGTATGAGAAAAGTTAATTATCAAAGAGAAATGTAGCCCATGTCATTCTCTTTATCTTTTTCTCTTATTTTTGTTTTGTTCCTATTTTTGAGCTTCTTGGACTACATTTTAAATATAGTGAAAAAAGCAACCCACAAATGGGAGACAAGATCATATAATTGATGAGGGTCTTGTATCCAGAATATTTAAAGAACTCTTACAACTCAACAATAAAAACACTAATAATACAGTTTAAAAAGTGGGCAAAAGATTTGAGTAGACATTTTTCAAAAAAAAGATACAAAAATGACTAATAAGCACATGAAAAGATGTTTGCTCACCATCCTTAGTCATCAGGGAAATGCAAATCAAAACGACAGTGAGATTATACTTCACACCCACTAGAATGGCCATAATAAAAAAGACGGATAACATGTTAAGGAGGATGCAGAGAAATTAGAACTCTCATACATTGCTGCTGGGAATATAAAATGGTACACCTACATTGGAAGACAGAGTAACAGTTTCTCAAAATGTTAAACACAGAGTTATTACATGACCCAGTATAAGCATATACCCAAGAGAAATGAAAACCTATGACTACACAGAAACCTGTACCTGAATGTAGCAGCATTATTCAGAATAGCCAAAAAAAAATTAGAAGCAATCCAAATGTTTATTAACTGATGAAAAGATGATGTGGTATATTGGTACAGTGGAATACTATATTTAGCAACAACAACAAAAATGAAGTACTGATATACTGTATACTGTAGCATGGATGAACCTTGAAAACATTATGCTGATGAAAAGAAACCAGGTACAAAAGGCCACATATTTTATGATTCCATTAATACACAGTGTGCAGAATAGACAAGTCCAGAAGAACAGAAAGTAGATTAGTGGTTGCCAGATGCTGGGTAGAGGTAAATGGGAAATAAATGCTAATGTATACAGGGTTTTTTTGGGGGGGGTGATAAAAAAGTTGTGATGGTTTCACAACTGTAAATACACTAAAAACTGCTGAATTGTACACTTTAAAAGGATGAATTTTATGCTATGTGAATTACATGTCAATAAAGTTGCTATTTAAAAAAATAATAAATCCTTCAAGATACACTCCAGATTTTCCTCCTTCATGCAATCTTTCCCTATCTGTTTTTGATTTCTCTTCCTTTTACACACCATAGCACTTTTCACCATCTTGAATAGGAGACATAATAATCTGCTTATGTGGGATAATTTATAAGTATGTCTTATTTCCCCACCCTCATTAATTGCAGACTCCTTGATGGTACAGCAAACCCTTGATTTTTCAGACCTCGATTTAACAACAAAATTTCTGATCTGTATATGTCATATGTGCAAATGAACACTTTGTTTTAAAATGCTTTTAACCAAGATTTGCTCATAATTAAAATAACAGGTTAATTTTTGTTATTAATTCACTGTTATTTTTAACAAATTTTAGCGAATAGGCCATATGTTGGACAAAACTGTAGTAATTTCACTGACATAAATAAATACTACATATTTACAACTATAGTCTACACTAGAGGCCCAGTGCATGAATTCATGCACGGGTGGGGTCTTGCCGGTCTACCCCAATTGGGGCCGATGGGGCTGGACCAGCCAGGGGGAGGGGCCGCAGTCAGTTGGCCGGCCTTGCCCCCTGGTCGAACTCTGGGTTGAGCTCCCGGTCGAGGGGACAATTTGCATATTAGCCTTTTATTATATAGGATATTTAAATCTAAGAGTCACCACTTGTAAACAGTGTTCGGGGCACGATTAGCATGTGATCACATGGTATTTCTCGAGGTAATTGGTTCTATTGTCGCAGGGTGTGACTTTCTACAGCAGTTTTAATGTGTGCAGGCTGACGTTCCCATATGTGCTAAGCTGCACCCCAGCCATGTACATTTTTTTACTTGCATGACTGGTGAGTGCACACATTTACTAGACCTATCCAGTACAAACTTAGTGAACGTACAAAATACTTTTCTGTGAAATTAAACTTTTCATACATTCTTAATTTTAATTACACAAGCATGTCTACCTTAGTAAAAACAGGTAAACTAATTTGTCAATTTTTAACATACCCATGCAGAAAATCTACTTTATTGTATAACGGACTTTCAGCTTTAATGGACACCCCCTCTCCCGAATTAGTCCGTTATATCGAGGTTTTACTGTACTTTTGTATCCTATCTAGTGCAGTACCTCATACACAGTAAGTACTTGGTGAAATATTTGTTAAAGTCTACATTGGGAGGAAGAAATTAAATATGTTTACATTAAATATAAGACCTAAAAGAACTGTCTAAGGAGGTGTGGGTGAGGTCATGGAAGATTTTTAAGTGGAAATTATATTTGAGCCAAGTCTTTATTCTGTGTTGAGCAGGTGCTTCCCACCTGAGTGGAACTAGTAGAAAGGACAGACAGTAAAAGGAAACAGTAAGTGTAACAGCACATGCTGCTCCTATTTCAAATCTCTTCTGATAGTTATAAAATGACATTGCGACATTTTAGAAGTCATCCTTAGAGATCGATTATGATCGTGATTGTTTAAAAACATTTTTGTAAGGTTAGCCACTCTTAAATAGTAATTCAGGAAAATCAAATTTTTCTGTTTGAGATCAATAATTTTAAAAACATTATTATTTGTGTGTCTACTCTAGGATGGCTTTAGATGACAAACTCTACCAGAGAGACTTACAAGTTGCACTGGCATTATCAGCGAAGGAACTTCCAATAGTCACCATTGATGTGGAGGGGTCTCAAGGTGAAAGTAACTTTATTTTCTATATATTTATTTCCATAAGGTTCTTATTGCTTTGTAATCATTTCTCTTTGAATGAGCCTTCACAGAGAAAAGAATAAATTTCAATACTTTGGACTATAAATAGTGCAATTTGCAGAGGGTATAATTGGGTTCAATTGTTTATTCTGTTGCATAAATCTCATAATACTAGTACATACCTCTCTGCTTAACACCCAAAGTAAACTCGACAACATGGACTATGCACTCAGATGTTCAAATTACATCTTTGTATACAGCGAAAATTTCTTTTTTTGATCAAATGAATTGATCTATACAATCCTAACAATCTACCTCCTTTCTCTCAAAATTCAAACTAGTTAAACATGACCTAATGATGGTAATTGTTATTATTTACAGAGGTTAACAGTATTAGTTTAGCAAGCTCAGTAGACTTAAAGGATCTATGATTTCTGGATTTCTCTGGAGTTTTTCTTTGATTTTTCTGGCCACTGCAGCAGGTGGCAATATTGATATTCTAAGAGGCAGAAATCATTATTGCTGGATGAGACATTCAAACTTTTAAAGTAATTTTGGATTGCCCTGCTTGGTTTGGCTCAGTGGATAGAGCATCAGCCTGCAGACCAAGGGGTCCCGGGTTTGATCCAGTCAAGGGCACATGCCCTGGTTGCAGGCTTGATTCCCAGTAGGGAGCGTGCAGGAGGCAGCCAATCAGTGATTCTCTCTCATCATTGATATTTCTCTCTCTCCCTTCCTCTCTGAAATCAATAAAAATATATTTTAAAAGATGATTTTGGATTAAATATTTTTGGCTTAACTTCCTTTATGTTGGAGGATATTTTTAGCCTATTAGTAGGGGTATAGGTTTTTAATCACTATTGTTTTCTATTTGAAAATAAATGAGACAGTGTTGATTAGAGGGCCTTTTAGTAATCAGGAATCAAAGAAACTTAAAACATTAATTGTCATATATCTAAAATTGAGAAAGTGAAATTCATCTCTGTATAGCAGGTATTCCTTAGAAGTACCACTTCTCATAGAATAACATACTTTATAGCACTGCAGTTTAACAGCACCAATTATCATGACTTAAAGTTCTCTTAAAATACTTTAGATCATTTTAAAGTTATTATAATGATTAAAGAGTCTTTTGCTAGTGAAAACATGGATATGCCTACACAGAAATAATAGTTAATATAGTTAATATTTATTGACTGTTTCCTATGTACTGGGCATTACAACAAGCAATTTTCATATGTGATTGACATTTAATCCCATACAATAACCTCATTTAATTCCCACACTATTTAAAAAATTTTTTTTAATCCTCACCTGAAGACACTCTCCATTGATTTTTAGAGAGAGTGGAAGAGAGAAGACAGAGAAAAACATCTATGTGAGAGAAACACATCGACTGGTTGCCTCCTGCATGGGCCCCGATTAGGGCCTAGGCCGGGGAGGACCCTGCAACCAGGTACATGCCCTTGACCGGAAACGAACCTGGTACCCTTTGGTCCACAGGCTGATGCTCTATCTACTGAGCCAAACCGGCCAGGGCAATTGCCACACTATTTTTATCTCCATATTATAGATGAGGAAATTAAGTCTTAGAGAGGATAAGCAACTTTCCCTTGGTCATATAGCCAGTTTAATTAGTAGAGCCTAACTTTGAACTTAAGTCTGATTAACTCTGATTAAGTCCCCAAACTCCTAACACTATGCCTGCCTCTCCAAGTAAAGTGCTAGTCTGAGTTTGGATCACTTATATGTATCTGGATGCTATTACATTTAGCACTAATCTTCCTACTTCTAGACATTGGTTGATTAAGGTACATCTGTTTTTTTCTTACCTGTTCCTTATATTTAGGCAGTGAAAAACATGACAATAGTGAAAGAGAAACAATGGATAAGTCTCCCCATATCTCCAATTGCAGTGTAGCCAGTGATTATTTAGGTAAGTTTTTTATAGTAATAATATTTGTTTATTACAACAATGCTATTTTTCTACCTTGTGTTTTAATTCCTGAAACTGTAGCTAGATCCAAGGTCTTTAATTTTGTCAAGGTTCTCTTCATCTCTCTCTGTTTCTTTCTGTTTTGGTTTTCTTCTCTCTTATGGTAGATCCAACTTCTTCCCTGGTGAAGGGTCAGGAGTACCTACTCATGGCTTCTAATCAACAGCAGTTGACCACTGAAGAAAGAGGCTGTATCTTCCCAGCTTCAGTTTGAAAATTCTTGGGGAGAGACTCTCATTTTGGGTTCTTGACTTATTCTTAAACCAGACTCTGTTGTCAGGAGACAGATGTGTTATAATTGGCCCAGATTGGGCTCTGTGGTGTATTACTAGAAACAGGGAAAGGATGAAGCTGGGCAAATTAGAACAACAGATGTAATTGGAGTCTATTCTCGCTTCTGTAAATATTGCCTGTCACAAAAAGTTTTCCATTGATTTTCATGCCTGCCTGAAGATTTGGATAAGATTACTGAGGAAGATGATGTTCATGGCGCTCAAGGGAGAAGAAAAGCAGCATCTAAAGCTGTGGTTCAGCAGAGGAAGATCCTTTTGGAAGGCAGTGATGGCGACAGTGCGAACGACTCCGAACCAGACTTTGCAACTGGTAAGTTACATCCTACCTCCAAATTCCATGGCAATTAGGTAAAATGCTCTAGAGACCATTAATGTATGTAAAGTGCTGTGCTAGATACAAACTTGAGGAACACACAGGACAGCTGAGTTCAGCTTTGGCATTTGGGGGAAGAGCTTCACCTGGAGATGACCTGTAAGCCATGCCTTAAAAACTGAGTAGCATGTAGGCAGACTAAAGAGGGAAAATAGCGTTTCTGACTGATAGGCATAAATAATGGGATAGACAAGTGCACGTACAAGAGTTCAGTGAGGCCTGCAGGGGAGAATGTCGTAGAAGAGGCTCGAGAGGCAGGCAGGCACTAAATTACAGACATCTCAGACCCATTCCAATAAGTGTAGACTTCTTTCTGTAAGTAATAGAAATTCATGAAATATTTTGGATAGAAGTGATATGAAATCTATATTTTATTATGACAGTTGTTTTCAGACTCATTCAGAAAGTAGGGTAAATGGGAAGGCATAGTAACCTTGATAGTACATCATGACATATTAACTAAAGATTAAAATGAATAATTCCATCAATTTATTCCAAATCAGATGCTGTGGTTTAATAGATTTTAACATGCTGTTGACAAACAATAACAGATTTGCTAATTAACAGTTATTCCACAAATATTTGAGTGCCTATTATGTGCACTATATTGTAGACATCAGAGATACAGCAGTGAAAAAAAACATCCCTTTAGGAGCTTAAATTTGAGGGGAACGGACAGTAATCAAATATGGTAAGTTCTTACTTAAAGTGAAATGATGTATAATGAAATCAATTTTACCATAGGCTAACTGATATAAACAAGAGTTAAGTTTCTGTAGCATCTCAACGTTGTAACAAAACGACCAAAACAATATTTGAGACTTGCTATACATAATGTGTCCAGTGCCATCATAGAAAAGCCATGAAGAAGAGAAAGACAGGTTAGAGCCCAGAAATCTGCCTTTTTAACCAATTCCTGCCCTTCTACATGACAGGTAATCCCAGAGCAGGTGGTCTATGGGTCTTACTTTGAGAACCACTAATATAAGTGGAGTGCCAAAAAGTAGGAGCCAGTGAAAGAAAATACCAGAGCATAGCAGAGCATGGACTAAATGCTTCCCAACTTAAGGTTACTTAATATAAAAACCCCAATATAATCAAAATACCTCCTTGGCAATTTCAACGTCTTTTCCAGGGATAATAATTGTAACACCTCCAGAATATTATCATCATTATTTGATGTATGCCTGTCAGAAAAAGCAGAAAACAATTCTGAAGTTATAACTTGCAAGACTGCTTAGCACACTAACAAAATTAATAAAGGACCAAAACGTTGGCTATGTTTGTAGAAGTGAAATCACTTGCTTTGCTTGTTGAGTTTTTGGAATTTGTGAGTTATGTTTCTAGTAGGTGATAGATATTTAAAAAGAATACCATTGTGTTATTTGCATTCCAACTTCAGATAATCTCTCTTGAACCATTTTATAATAGTAAGTTTTTTGGAAATCCTGATTTGAATAGTGACTTTAAAATTGCCCCTGGCCCTAGCCAGTGTTGCTTAGTGGTTAGAGCAGGGGTGGGCAAACTTTTTGACTCGAGGGCCACAATGGGTTCTTAAACTGGACCGGAGGGCCGGAACAAAAGCATGGATGGAGTGTTTGTGTGAACTAATATAAATTCAAAGTAAGCATCATTACATAAAAGGGTACGGTCTTTTTTTTGTTTAGTTTTATTCATTTCAAACGGGCCGTAGTTTGCCCACGGCTGGGTTAGAGTATTGGCCTGAGCACTGAATGGTTTGATTCCTGGTCAAGGGCACATACCAGGGTTGCAAGTTCCAGCCCTGACCCGGTTGGAGTGCGTGCAGGAGGCAACCAATCTATGTATCTCTCTCACATTGATGTTTCTTTTTCTCTTTCTCTCCTCCCCCTTCCACTCTCTCTAAAAATCAATGGAAAAATATCCTTGGGTTAGTATTAACAAAACAAAACAAAAAATTTTAAAAATAAAACTGCTCCTCTACTCTTAAAGGTAAATAGTTAAGGACTTGAATAGACATTTCTCTAAAGCAGGGGTTCTCAACCCTGTCTGCACAGTAGAATCACCTGGGAATCTTTTTAAAAAACTGATTTCTGGGCCTCATCCTCCGGAAATTCTGTTTCTTTGTTACTAATGTTGTGGCCCCACCCCGTAACAAAGAAACAGAATTTCCGGAGGATGAGGCCCAGAAATCAGGATTTTAAAAAGATTCCCAGGTGATTCTAATGTGCAGCCAAGGTTGAGAACCACTGCAAAGATTATACACAAATGGCCAAAAAGCATATGAAAAGAGGCTTAATGTTACTAATCAGTAGCGATATTTCAGTATTATGTGCACTGTATTGTAGATATAAACAAATCAAAACCACAATGAGATTTCACATCACAACTTATTAGGACAGTGATGGCAAACCTTTTGAGCTCGGTGTGTCAGCATTTTGAAAAACCCTAACTTAACTCGGGTGCCTTGTCACATATAGAAATTTTTTGATATTTGCAACCATAGTAAAACAAAGATTTATATTTTTGATATTTATTTTACATATTTAAATGCCATTTAACAAAGAAAAATCAACCAAAAAAATGAGTTCGCGTGTCACCTCTGACACGCGTGTTATAGGTTCACCATCACTGTATTAGGATATTAAAAAACAGAGAAGAGCAAGTGTTGGTGAGGGTGTGGAGAAATTAGAATCCTGTGCACTGTTGGTGGAAATGTAAAATGAAGCAACCACTATGGAAAACAGTATAGCAGTTACTCAAAAAATAGTAAATAGAACTGCCAGCCCTAGCTGGTGTTTCTCAGTGGTTAGAGCAAACGGCCTGTGCCGATGGGTCTTGGATGTGATTCCTGGTCAAGGGCACATACCTGAGTTGCAGGTTCAATCACCAGCCCCAATTGAGGCACATGAAAGAGGCAACCAATCCAGTGTCTCTCACATTGATGTTTCTCTCTTCCTCTCTCCCACCCCTCTCTCTCTCTCTTCTCCCCTCCCCCCGCCCCCCTGTTTCCTCCCTCCCTTCCATTCTCTCTAAAAAAAAAAAATCAATGGAAAAAATCGGGTGAGGATTTAAAAAGCAACACTACCATATGATCTCGCATTTCCACATCTGGGTATATATCTACAAGAATTGAAAGCAGGGTCTCAGATATTTGCACACCCATAGCAGCATTATTACCAAAAGCCCAGAAATGGAAGCAATGCAAATATCCTTGATGATGAATGCATAAACAAAATGTGGTATATACATACAATGGAATTTTATTCAACCTTAAAAAGGAAAGAAATCCTGTCACATGCTATATCTTGGGTAAACCTTGAGGACATTATGTTAAGTAAAATAAGCCAATCACTGTGATTCCACTTATATGAGATATCTAAAATGTCAAATTCATAGAAACAGAGGTAGAATGGTGATTAGCAGAGACTGGGGAGAGAAGGAATGGAGAGTTGTTTAATGGGTACTGAATCTCTGTTTTGCAAGATTAAAAGTTCTAGAGGATGGTTGCACAAAAATGTGAATATATGTACTTAACACTACTGATCTGTACACTTAAAAAAGCTTAGGTTAGTAAATTTTACCACAATTAAAAACATTTTAAAGGAAATAATGAGTTAAAAAAGTAAATAGCTTGGTTCTAGGTTTTTTTCTTACTCAATTTTGCATAAGCAAATATTTTTTAGATGAAATATAAGTCATAGTTTTGAGAGAATATATTTTTATTTTGAGTTCCATACAGTTGAACAGCAATTTGAGATATAGAAAACATGAAAAACAGGAAAGAAAACATTGGTTGAAACATCCGAAGTTATGCTGGATAAGAGAATGGCAAAAAATATTTCTAACTGAAAGTTATTTTTCCTTAGACAGATTCAAGACCTGTAGTTGTTTGGGGAAAACATGGTTGTCAAATTGTGATTTTACTGGAATTCTAATAATGAGGGTTGTTATAACTGCAATAGGAGAATAATTACAATGGGAAGCCATTGTGATAAAAATTATTTGTCAATTAATGGAATGTTTGAGTTATTGGATGGTAGACTGGTTAAGACACTGGGAGAAAATGATGCTAGTAGTTTATGTAGTAATAGACACTTAAAAATTCTTGGGTTCTGTTTCCTGGCTGGTGTGGCTCACTCAGTTGGTTGGGCATCATTCCATACACTGAAAGGTTGCCAGTTCGATTCCCAGTCAGGGCACATGCCCAGGTTTTGGGATCAATCCCCAGTACGGGGTGTGGAGGAGGCAGCTGATTGATGTTGCCTCATATCGATATTTTTCTCCCTTTTCCTTCCTCTCTCTCTAAACATCAATTTAAAAATCTTTTAAAAAATTCTTAAGTTTTGTTTTGCAAGATGCAAAAGTTCTTGATCTTCTTGTGTTACTTATAGACTAAAATGACTGCTTCTTTAGATCTTTGAGAGCTAATTTGTTTTGTTTTGTTCTTTCTGTTTCATTTTTATGGCTTCCACCAAGCTACAAGTGTGGCTACTCTCCCTATAAAAAGACATGTGGTCCAGCCCTGAGAAACATTACAGGGAACTAGCTCATTAGCTGAAAAGTGATAATTGCCCTCTAACCTGTGCTGTGGATATACAAACTAAGCTTCAAGCAAAATTTTTTCATTGCCTCTCTAATTTTTTGACTCCTCTTCTGTCCTCCAACCCAAGAATGCAAAAGCCTTACGCTATCTTATAAACCTTCTAATCTACTCCAGCCAAGCCTGCTTTACCTTAAATTGAAATATAAATATATTCCTTCTTGCTTATTGTACTTTAAGTTGCATACAGTCAGTTTATTTTCATTCACCCTAAGCCCATAATGACTAACAACTCTCCAAACCCCTTAGAATTGATTTTTATTATACTTGAATGTGCAACTGTTACAGTTCAGATAACCTTGTAGGGGCTTTTTTTTTTTTTTAAAGCAGGGTTCTTTAGGTGACCTGTCTGCTTCCCCCCTGCATTGGCTCACCCAAGATGAGAAGAGAAAGGGTAATCTGTGAACTTCAGTTGGAAAAGAAAAGTGAAAATTAGAGGGAACATAAGACTTTTCTTAAGAAAATCTAATGATCCCCAGAATCCATAACCTCAGTGTTTGGGCCTTCCAGATTTTCTAATCCGGTATGCTAGTAACTTGGGATTCTGGGAGTTCCAAATTATTTAACTGCTTTCTCAGTTGACTGATGAAGAGCAGTTGGACGCCATCTTTTAATAAGCTTGTTCAATAGAGAAACTCAGTTCCTACTGTTTATTCTCTCCAGCCAAGAAAAGAACACATGCAATACCAGAACTGTTTAATGCATAGGAAGTTTTGTCCTCCTAGATTTTATATTCTAAAATTTTGGAGAAACTTTCTACTACTTGCTGCCCCCCTGAACCTAGGTCTTTTTGGGACTCCAGAAAAAATAACTTGATTTTGCAAGGTACTACTTATGACAGCCTTTATGACATCTGCTGGCCTTATATGGCTAATTCCATATAACAATAATCATCATGTGAATATGTGGGTTTATTGCTCTTTTAAAACATTTTATTTGTGTGGAAAGAATGGCAGAATAAGGAAATTCTAATTTGAAGATCATAATGACCATCGTTAATTTAGGCAAAGATCATCAGGAGGCTGATGAGGATCTTTACAGTGGAGAATTCAGGCTGGCCTCAACTGAACCAACAAAGAGTGGGACAACCACATTATGTGCTTTCTGATATGATATAACATGAAGTACAGAGCATCACCTATGAAGTATATTCTTACCAAAAAATAATAAGGTGAGCCTGATTCTAATTCAGTCCTGAGGAAACTACAGCTCACAGAAAATGCAAGAACAAATTAAATGACACCATGAGGAAGGAAAAACAGACAAATCCATAATGTGGGCATTTTATAGGACAACTGACTTGGTTACTTCAACAAGTCAAAGACATGGGGGTCCTAAAAGAGAGGGGGTATTGCACTATATAAAAAGTGATTAATATGAACTGGATAGAAGGTAATACCAAGAAGCTATTATTAAATTGATATGATAATGACATTGTTTTTTTTTAAAACCCATGTGTTTTAGAGATGCATTCTGAAGTGTATAGGAGTGTAATGTCACAATACTTCAGATTTAATGAACTCCAAGAAGGAAAGGGATGAGAAAAGAAGAAGAAAAGGTAGATAGATGAAACAAATGCATCAAAATATTAACGATTGTTGAACAGTTTATTATCTACTGTTGTACATGTTTGAAATTTTCTCATGTATTTTTTATATAAAATATATTTCATATAGATAGGTAGAGATTATATATGGTGGGCATAACAGTGGTTATCTCTGAGTGGTGAGATTAGGGAGTGGACCTTCTTTTTCTTTAATACTTTTTGTATTTGGTCTATATGTTCTGCAGTAAGCATGTAGTGCTTAACTATTAAGTATTCTCCATATTTTTTCCCAGAGCAGCTGTGCTTACTTAACATTATATCACTGGTTTATATCATCCCAGATAAGACTTTGTGGGAAATTAAAGGTATGTCCCAAATGAAATCATAAAGCATTACTAGAGGCCCAGTACATGAAATTCATGCACGGGTAGGGTCCCTAGGCCTGGCCAGCGATCAGGGCCAATCTGTGGGGTGACCAGTGGGGTGATCAGGGGCCCCCCATTGGCACCTGCCTTAGTGGGCCTGGCAATACCCACTTGCTGACCCCGCCCCCCACCACAACCACTGGTTGCCTCTCTCTGAGGAGCAACTGGTGGAGGGTCAGGGGACCCCCACTGGCACCCGCCTTAGCTGGCCTGGGGCCTGTGTGCTGGGGGCAGTTCCTGCGTTGAGCGTCTGCCCCCTGGTGGTCATTGCGCATCATAGTGACCGGTCATACTGCCGTTCGGTTGATTTGCATATTAGGCTTTTATTATATAGAATCTATTAAGCTTGTTGTGGTATGGTTAGTCTCCTCAATTCCCAATGTGTTTCTGTTCTAGAATGCTAAGTTTATGTGATTAAGGGAAGGTGTACTGTTATTAATACCACCAAGGTTATCATTTTGAAAGAGTAGCCAATGTTATATCCTACTATTGTTTTAAAAAGTTACTGAGCTAAACTGGTAAAATCGGAAGTAAAGATTACTAATGGGAAATTATAATGATAATAGCAATAGCAAACAATTCTACTTTGCTTGCTGTAAGCCAGATGTTATTGCACATGCTTTACCTATATTAACTCATTTAATCCACACAACAACCCTGTGACGTAGGTTTTGTAGTTATCCCCATCTTATACATGGGAAACTGGGGCACAGTGCGGTTAGCAAGCAACCTGTCTGAGGTCACACAACATGTAGGTGGAGGGGCCAGGATTCAAACCCAGGGAACCATGCTCTCCATAATTGCAGTGTTTCACCCAGGAAATGACTTAGCACAAATTTACACAAGAATCTGGTGCAAAAGCTGTAAAGTCAAGGCCATAGAAGCCTTACTTTTTATAACAAAACTGAAGCATGTAATCTTTTGTTTTAGGTGAAGATTCTGAAGATGATTCTGATTTTAGTGAGAGTGAAGATAATGATAAAGACTTCACTATGAGAAAAAGTAAAGAAATTAAAAAGAAAGAAGTGAAGGTTAAATCTCCAGTTGTAAAGAAAGAGAAGAAAGCTAAATCCAAATGTAATTCATTAGGTAAGCTTAGTTTAAAACACATTTATAAAGAAAATGTATTTAATTTACTTAATGAGTTTCTTTTATCTTTGCCTTTGGTCTCCTTAAGGTTTGCCAGTGTTCATTTCTGGTTAAAATACATAGAGAAAAGTAGGGTGGGGTGGGGAAGGGAGAACAGCAGACAAGAGTAATGAGCTCCACTACCTATCTGGCACTTCCTGTGTATTACCTCCCTTTAGCACTGACAGCCACCCTCTGATATAGCAGTTTTCACCTGCATTTTTCAGTGAGAAAACTGAGGCTCAAAGAGTTTAAATAATTTGTTGAAATTCTTACAACTAATAAGTGAGGGGCTGGGATTTGCACCCAGATTTGCCCATTCCTGGTGTAAACTCTATCCACTGGACCACGTTTTCTCCAGGCAACTTTGCATGATTTAACTTCTTGCTTTCATGCTTGTTTAATCTTTTATTTGAGAACCCTTTTGCCACATGTTTAGGGCCTTTTTGTTTTTTTCAAAACTAATTCCATTAGAAATCATTTCTACAATGAAACTTTTGCAATTTGTGATAATTTCAACATGGAATACTTGTTTCTTTTGTAAAAGAAGTTAGGATAGCCCTAACTGGTTTTGCTAAGTGGATAGAGCGTCGGCCTGTGGACTCAAGGGTCCCAGGTTCGATTCTGGTCAAGGGCATGTACCTTGGTTGCGGGCACATCCCCAGTAGGTGATGTGCAGGAGGCGGCTGGTCGATGTTTCTCTTTCATTGATGTTTCTAACTCTCTTTCTCTCTCCCTTCCTCTCTCTAAAAAAATCAATAAAATATATTTTTTAAAAAGTTAGGATATTTTTAATTCATGATCTATGGTAGACTATTATAATATAACTTTCATTAAACTGATATGTTTCACTTGTTGATATATATTTTTATGTGTTATTTACTTAATAGAAATGCTTTTTTGAAACTAAAATTTTCATTATTCAGGCTCCATTTATTAATGGTAGGAGTTGCTCTTGCCTTAAATAGCGTGGTGTTGAGTACTTGCTAATACAGTGGTTCTCAACCTTCTGGCCCTTTAAATACAGTTTCTCATGTTGTGACCCAACCATAAAATTATTTTCATTGCTACTTCATAACTGTAATGTTGCTACTGTTATGAATCGTAATATAAATATCTGATATGCAGGATGGTCTTAGGCGACCCCTGTGAAAGGGTGGTTCGACCGCTAAAGGGGTCACGACCCACAGGTTGAGAACCGCTGCCCTAGATGCTAATATATTGACTCACTGACACATACTAATGAGACACTTCATGCAATGTTTAGAAGTATGAACTTTGGAGTCAGACTTGGTTCCTAATTCTATTATATTGTTTACTAGTGATCAAGCCACAGACAGTTTGTTCCCCTAACTGCTGACATTGGGGATAGTAATATCTGTATCAGAGTTTCTGTAAGGGTTAAATATAATGTTTATGATATGCTTACAATACTGCCTATCATATAAATGCTCATAAAAGATGGTATTCTTAGGCTTTCAGTAAATGTTTATTGATAAGTTTTTCAAAATGATACTGCCTTTTAAATTTTTATAAGATTATATAACTATAATTTTTACACAAACATGCTGGATTTAAACTCTATTTTATGTGTGTTTTTCTAATAAATGACTTCAGTAGACTCTGCTCCAGCTGCTGTCAAATCAGAATCTCAGCCCTCATCAAAAAAGGTTTCTCTTTCTTCAGCGGCAACTAGGAAACCATTACAAATACGCAGTCCTTCAAGTGAAAGCAAGAGACCTAAGTGGGTCCCACCAGGTATGGTATATTTATCAATCAAGAGCAGGGGCTTGGAAAGTTACCACTGGTAGATTGTTTTCCTCATTGTAAACGGTATACATATTGTTACATTTTCTTCAAAACCAAGGTTTTGCATTTATTCATCATTTTATCATTCCCTTATATTGAGCATTGAGATTATTAGTTCTTAATGTTATAAATAAGGTTGCAATAAGCACAATCCTTATTTTAGAAGTCTGTGGGCACATCCTGATTATTTTCTTAGGATAAATTCCTAGTAAAAGAATTATAGTGTCAAAGAGTATTAACAGTTAAGATTCTTATACATGTTTTGGCAATAAATCTGTTTGCTCAAGACTTGCTGACCTCCACAGTCCAACTGAAGAAGCATCAGGGCTCATATGTGGGAATTCCAACATTTAGCAAATGCCCTAGCAAACTCAACCTCTGTCTCGCACAAACTTGACCTTTTTATTTTGTTTTCTTTGTTCCACAGCCAAGTCTCACTGATGCTTCAAGATTTCTTTGACCTTCACCCTTCTTGACATTACTAAAACCCTAACGCAGCCCTGTTCATTTTATATCCAAACTATTAGTGCCTTCCTAATAGTTCCTTCTCCACTTGCTTTTGTCCAATCAGTTGAATCCTCTATTCCAGTGAAATGGATACATTTTTTGCCCCTTTAACACAGTGTTTGTATTCTTCTGTCACAGCCTCTCTTTATGCAGTTATCTCTTTCTAGTAAGTCTTTCTTCATTTGTCCCCTGTCCTCTGAGTCATTCCAAGTCTACTCAGGTTTATTTTACTTCTTTTCAGTGACATTCTTGGTTGGCCCACAGTGGTCATTCCTCTAGTCATAACTAGGTATTAATAGACAAATTTAGGCCTGAGACATGATTATTTAATTTATGAGTCTTCATTCCATCATCTAAAATGTTAAGCACGATATAATCTTTAATGTTTTTTTCCAGTTTAAACATCTAAGATTTTAATGAGGACTTAAAAATTTTTTGGAGAAGGAAAGGAGGAACATTAGTTACTGAATTAATGATGCAGTGTCATTAGAAGGATAATACTCAGTGTATTTCTCCTGAGAATAATTAGTGATTCCCCAACAAAAGGAATTTTTTAAAAAATGATATAATGACAAGAAATTTAAAGGTAGCATAATAAAAAAAGATAGAAAAAATAATGGAATGATATGGCATGGATGGATAAAGAGTTAATATCAGTGGGAATAGAAAGTTCATATCTCAACATCATAAAAGCCATATATGACAAACACACAACCAACATCATACTCAATGGGCAAAAACTAAAACCCTTTTCCTAAGAACAGGAACAAGACAGAGATGCCCCCTCTCACTACTCCTGTTCGACAGTACTGGAAGTGCTAGCCATTGCGATCAGACAAGAAGAAGAAATAAAAGGCATCCAAATTGGAAAAGTAGAAGTAAAACTGTCCTTATTCAGGATGACATGATACTGTACATAGAAAACCCTAAAGACTCCATCAAAAATTATTAGACTTATTAAATGAATTCGCTAATGTAGCAGGATACAAAAGTAATGCCAAGAAACCTATGGCATTTCTATACACCAATAGTGAACTTACAGAAAGAGAGACTAAAAAAACAATCCCATTTACCATTGCAACAAAAAAAAATTAAGATACCTAGGAAGAAACTTAACTAAGGAAGTAAAAGACTTGTACTCAGAAAATTACACGATGTTGAAAAAAGAGAGGAAGACATAAACAGATGGAAGAACATACCGTGTTCATGGATTGGTAGAATCAACATCATTAAAATGTCCATACTACCCAAAGCAATCTATAGATTCAATGTACTCCCCATTAAGAGTTAATATCATAAAGCACAAAGTGCTCATAGATTCACTGTGTGAAAGGGTAAGGCAAGTAATGTGAGAGAATTGGGCCTGAGTCATAAACTTGGATGAGAAAGGATTGTTGGACTTAAGAGCTCACACCCCTTTGATAGGAAGCATCTGTTGCTCAACTCCATCTAATTGTTTACATGCAGGATTATTTCCAGGTCTGATTTTTTTCAAGAGAAACCAAAGATATAGATTTTAATGTGAAATCTCCTAGTTTTAAAAATGAATTTTTTTTTTTTTTACACCATGTGGACTAAACAATATATCTGAGAGCTAGATTTGACCTCAGATTGCCAGTTAGTTACTGTTTTATTCAAATATGAGAAGATCACCAAGATCCCAATGGGAAAATGAACCAAAGACATGAACATATTAATAGTCTCAAGAAATACAACTAGAAATCCATATGAAAAGAATTTCAGTCTCACTGGTAATTAAGGAAATATAAATTAAAATAATAAAATACTATTTTATACCTCAAACTAGACAGTAATAAAGCAGTATAATCTAGGGCACTCTGGGTTATGGGGTAGCAGGTATAATTATCCTATACTCGAGGCCCGGTACACAAAAATTTGTGCACTGGGGGGGGGGGGAGGGGGTGTCCCTCAGCCCAGCCTGCGCCCATTTGCAGCTCAGGACCCCTTGGGGGATGTCACCTGTTGACTTAGGCCCACTCCCCGGGGAATCAGGCCTAAGCTTGCAGTCAGACATCCTTCTGGCAGCCAGGGAGCCCTCAGGGGATGTCCGACTAAAGGCTTAGGCCCCCAAGGGATTGGGCCTAAACTGTTAGTTGGACATTCTTAGTGCTGCCATGGAGGTGGGAAAGGGTCCTGCCACCACCTCTGCACTGGCCAGCCATGAGCCAGCTTCTGACTCAGTGGCACTACTCCTCGGTCTGACCTAAACCCTAGAGATTAGTACTTCATTTTACAACTTTTTCTCGGTTTATAGGCAGCAGCAAACTCAGACCACACAGTCGGGTATGCAAGAAATGTTGCTTTCTTTATTGTTTAGTAACCAAACCTAACTTCAACTTCAACCCCCATTCTGCCAAGTGAGAAAACAAAAACAAAATATTATTTAACTTAGGTTCCCCACCCCCTTCTCTGGAGTTGTACTTCCATGTCAGACAGTTTATATCTCAGGCAGAGGTGCCAAAGAACCCAGCAGGGTCAAGGACATCTGGACCTCAGTCTTCTGTCTGGGTTGGCCCCCACCCAGCTGCCCTTGACCCTCACCTCAGAACTCAAGTCCATGCTGATCCCTGGTATATTCTCCTCATCTGGGCCTTAAGGCCTCTTGAGTCCAATTTGCTCTCTCCCTCCCTGCCACCTTCTCTCTCTCACACAAAGAGGTATTGGGCTTCTGGGGTGAGGTCCTCTGACACCTCCTCAGCCCCATTGCACGATCACCATCTTGGTGCCTAGGTCACGGCCACAATGCTGTGTGGCTGCTCTCAGACCCTCCGTCTCCTGCTGCCTTAGGGAGTGATTCAGTGGGAGGGGAGGGTCACAGTCCTTTTTACATGGCCACCAACAAACACTCTAGTTCCTTCCCTCTAGTTCTCCTTCTCCTTCTCACCCCAGTCCAGGCACATCTATGTGCAGGGGAGGGTGGGAGGCAGGGGTGTCCTGACCCAGCACACAGGCTTCCAGATCCACTGCTTCCCCAGGAGGCTTTCCACGCTCTGGACCTTGACACCCAGAACCTGTCCCCTCTCAGCTGCAGGTCTTTGCCCACAGTGGTCAAGTCTGTTTAGAGCAGCCGTGGGCAAACTACGGCCCATGGGCCAGATCCGGCCCGTTTGAAATGAATAAAACCAAAAAAAAAAAAAAAAAAAAAAAAAAAAAAAGACCATATCCTTTTATGTAATGAGGTTTACTTTGAATTTATATTAGTTCACACAAACACTCCATCCATGCTTTTGTTCCAGCCCTCCGGTCCAGTTTAAGAACCCATTGTGGCCCTCGAGTCAAAAAGGTTGAGAACCACTGGTTTAGAGGCTTGAAGTCAAGAAGTGCCTCTTTGTTCTCTGCTTTCTGGAGGCGGTCAGCGTGGAAACATTCCTGCCCTGGATTGGGGAGGGGTCTCTGGGTGTTAAGAATACCAGGAGGGGGAGCACAGACTCCTCCGAGAGCTCCGAGAGAGGAAAGGCAGCACCCCCTCACCTCTAACCCCAGGACGTTTCTTTAGAAGCAGAATCCTCGTCCCGTGCAGGACCCTGTGCTGGCTGCCTCAGTTTCTCAGAGACAAAGAATTTGATGAACATCTTTTCCCCACTGCAGTAGCTGCTTCATTTGTTCGTTCTCGCATTTTTCATTAGCTGCTAACTCGCCCCTGTGGCTGCAAACCTGTTGTGCCTGACTCAGCCAGCAGGGGGCTATGGGAGCTGTGCAGGGACAGGGGAAGGGAGAGGGGGGCCCAGACTGCAGGGAGGGTCAGTGGTGCCTGCCAGGCTGTCTCAGAGGATGTGGCTTAGGTTAGGTCCTGTCCTTTGGTGACTTTAGGAGGGGAGGCCATGTCCTCCGCTCCCCACTTTGACTCAGGGGCAGAAGTTCTTGCCTCTGGCCTCATAACTCAGTGGATCATGGTAGGATGCGGCAGGCAGGCAGCTTCTCGACTGCACATGGGCGCCAGCCTGGGGCCCAGGACCCAGATCCAGGTCCCGGACGGCAGGCAGGCGGCTTTTGGGGTCACACACGGGGGCCTGGATGGCAGCTCACACCAGCTCGTGCTGTTCCGCCCTGCCTGCAGTATGCAAATTAGCCCCCATCTTTGTTGGCGGTTAATTTGCATATCACGCTGATTAGCCCATGGGAGGTGTAGTGAAGGTACAGTCAATTACCATGTTTGTCTATTATTAGATAGGATAATAAAACCCTAACATGCAAATCGACCGAATGGCGGAACGACTGGTCACTATGACAAACATTGACCACCAGGGGCAGACGCTCAATGCAGGAGCTGCCCCCTGGTGGTCAGTGCGCTCCCACAAGGGAAGCACCACTCAGCCAGAAGTTGAGTTCACGGGTAGCAAGTGCAGCAACGGTGGTGGGATCCTCTCCCGCCTCTGAGGCAGCGTTAAGGGGGGGCCTAAGCCGGCAGGCATACATCCCCCAAGATGTCCCAGACTGCACTGCTGAGGGCCTTCCCTACCCCAGTGCATGAATGTCATGCACCGGGCCTCTAGTTTACTGTAAATCCTTTATAGGTAGAACAGTTTGACAGAACCCATAAAAATAAACCTGTCCTTTGGCCTAGGAACTAGTCTTAGGAATTAATTTCTTAAAAAGAATTCAAAAGTAGAAAAAGTAATAAGTGGTCAGATTTTTATAACTTTATATGAAAATGGTAAACACTTCAAAAGTTTGTTAAAAGAATTTGATATATGACACATACAAGCAATTAAGAATGGTAAATCAGATGGTTAGAAACATGGAAATATTTATAAATCTTTACTTGAAGAAAAGTACACACATTTGTACTTCTTATGACTACAATCATGATCAATTATGAACATTTAAGTGGTTAAAATTTGAAATTTAATACTTGCTGGCAATAATTGCTACATTAGAATGGTAGCATAAATGAAGCCCATATAAATAAATTAAAATAGCATTTGTCATGTTTAAAGTGATTTAGTAATTGAAAAAAATAGATTCTTTCAAAAGAGTATTTGTAAAAATTGCAGGATTTTTAAAAATGCATTAAATTTTTCTTCTTCTTTAGAAATGATTACATTCATCTTCTTATGCATCAACAACCAATGTTATTTGCTTTTAACTTATCTATTTCAGCTTTTACCCTTAAAGTTTTGGAATCACGACCTTGCCTTCTGGGGATGTTTGAAAATGGACAATAGTATTTTTTTTCTGCTCTTTAGTACTTTCTATTATTTTGATCTTGTTTATAACTTGATAGAACCTGTATAGCAGAATAATGCTTAACTGTATTTTTTGCTTTTGTTTTATAAGTTAATTTTTGTTAAGAGATTTCTAACATCATCAGCATCAGGTGATGTGTTTTCTTTCAGCGGTATCCGGAAGGAGCAGCACCAGCAGCAGCCCGCTGGCAGGGGAGTTTGTTAAGTCTCCAAATCAGAGTCTCCGCCTTGGCTTGTCTAGATTAGCACGTGTTAAACCTTTGCATCCAAACACTGCTAGTAGCTGAGTGTGGTAGTAAAGAAATGTTTAAGAGAATCACAGTTTGACAAGTGTGTTTATATTGTAATATAAAGGAATCCTTTAACGTCATATAAATTATCTCTACCCATTTTGTGATTATGTTCTCTGAAAAGCTATTCAAGACTTCAATAAGATTTGTTTATAAGAATTATCTTGTAATATCATTTTCTTCTGAAGAGAATATTCTACATCCTTATATATAAAATCAGTCACTGTCATTAGTGTTTGTCTATTTGACATGGAGGAAGTCCACATTATATGCTATTTTTTTTCCTAGTAACATGAGGGTTCTTTCTAGCTTTGACTAGTTTATGGCACTTTTGTTCAGAGTTTATCTGGCAAAATAAAACATTCCAATTTTTCCCAGGAGATATTTCTGGAATATGTTACTTAAGCTACATTGTCAGTTTTATTGCCAAGATGCTTATTATTTTAGTCAAATATTTTTATAGGAAGAATTCAGAATGAATTTCCACATTAAAACAGTTGCTATAATATGACATATTTTCTACTTAGGAATAGATGGTTATTATATAGCAGATAGAATTTCATGACATTTTGTGAAGTCCTCATTGTCAAAACCTTTAATAAATATGAAAAAGTTTTGATATGATCTTTTTCTTGATTCCATTGCATCCATCTGTCTCTTCTCTGACTGTCTGCATTTCATGATAAAATGAGTGCTTAGCCAAAAACATTAGCCTTTTGTTTTAAATATAAAAGGGGGCTGTTAAAGTAATCACTTTATGTTAAGTCAGTACTTTTGAGGGTGGCTGTTACGTACCTAATTATTCCTATTAGTTCATTTAGCTTTTCAGGAAACTTAGATCTGAATTTGTAAATAAAATAGTAGTAAATATTTTATATTGTGAAAATTCTAACCAACTCCTGATCACTTAATAAAAATTCTTCAAATTACAATAACCATTTTAAAAATGTGTAATATGGCCCTAGCCAATTTGACTCAGTGGATAGATTGTCAGCCTGCTGACCCAAGGGTTCCAGGTTTGATTCCTGTCAAGGGCACATACCTTGGCTGCAGGCTTCTCCCTGGCCCAGGCCCTGGTCAGAGTGTGTGCAGGAGGCAACCAATCAATGTGTTTCTTTCAGATCAATGTTTCTCTCGTTAGGTCTGATCAAATAATTGAATTGATACCTTCTCCCCTGGGGACTGACCTTTAGGCCACTTCACAAGGAACATTCCCTCTTGCTTAGACCACATTCCTCTTGCTAAGATCATTATCTCTCCCCTACAGACCTTCCTAGGATCTGGACCCACCCAGAGAATTCTCCGCCCAGAAAAAGCCCGCCTAGAGTCCTTTAAAATGTCAGACTCCCTGTTCCTGGGGGCTAGTGCCATTTAGGGACTCAGCCTATCTGGTATCTATATGACCTAATCCTATATGATAAAAGCATAGTATGTAAATTGTCCCCTTGACCGGGAGGTCGACAGGGACTTTCAACCAGGGGATGGGGCTGGCCAGGGGAAGGAAGGGAGCACCCACCCGGCAGCCAGCAGCCACTTTGAGACCTACCAGTGCACAAATTTCGTGCACTGGGCCTCTAGTAAATTCATAATCCTGCACCACTTTGGACTTGTGCGTTTCTCCTTTTGTGACCCTAACATCTCTGTCTTTCCCTCCCACTCTCTAAAATAAATTAAAAAATATCCTCAGGTGAGGATTAAAAAGTAAATTAAAAAATAAGTAAATAAAAATGTGTAATATGTAGCTCAGTTCTTTTTGATTTATGAAATCATGTGAAAATATGTAATTTAGAATTATGATTTAAGTAAGCATTTGTATTTTGCTATTGTCCATTTTTATTATCCAGTGGATATTTTTACACTGTCCTATACCACCTCACCTACCCTACCCCATTTTTAAACTATATTTTCCAGTTAAAAAGTATTGAGATACCCTATATGTTGCAGTTCAACAGTAAACATTTATTAAGAGCCCACCCTGTATTAGACACTGATGTCATTGTTTAATCATCTGGCACAAGTTCAATGAACCTGATTTCTCTGTGTAATTCATAGTTTCTGTTGAAACCCTAAAATTTCTTAAACTGGCCTTGCAGAAAGCATTAATGAGCTCATTAATGTTGCCAAATCCAGTATACATTTTTCTCACCTAATCTTGTAGAACCCTATTCATCATACTCTGGGTATGGGTAACACTATTCTTTCATAATTTCACCCCATCTCCCTGCCTACTCTTCATTATTTTGCAGCTTTCTAATCTCTGTCACACCCATTTCTCCCTTCATGGTGTCATATTCTGTGATTGTATTCTTTTCTGTCCTTTAAAAAGAAAATCCAAAAGCTTAGGTGATTTCAAGCTCCAGTGGTCACCTATGTGACAGTGACTGCCATGTCAGGAACTTTAGTTCAGAGCTCACTCTGCACAAGACTTGTTGCCTTGTCCATTGATAATTTGATGTATTAAATCATCAATAGCATCTCCCCTTGCCCCCAAAGTCTTCCCTCCTATATTTTATTAGTAAATGGCATCATCACAAACTCGGGTGCCTAAGGCATTGTCACCCTTCACATCCTATCATCAAGCTTTATTTTCCTCAATTGCTCAAAACTGTTCTCTCCTTCCACTGGTCCCTTACTCTAAAATATCATCACTTAACTACTTTTACCTTGATTCTTAACCTACTCTGGCTTACCCTCCATACCATTTTTGCCAGAGGGAGGTTTCTAAAATAAAGTTTGAGCATGAACACTCGCCTGCTTAAAATCCACGCACATACACCTTAGTCTGTTTAGCTCACAAGCTATTTTGAATTAGTCTGGCCCCTGCCTGACACCCATGATATTATGCCCTCAGAACCCTGGGCCTTCAGGTTGGCTCTTATTTGCCTTCTTTACATTGTGAGTTCTTACTTGTCTTGAAAACTCAAATTCAACTCAGCTTTTCAGAAAGCTTTATTTGGATGTCTGTTGCCGCTGTAGACCATACTGTGTATTCCCTGAGGCCACCCTGCCATCATCGTATATAATAAAAGCATAATATGCAAATCGACCGAACAGCAGAACAGGGTTGCTATGATGCGCACTGACCACCAGGGGCAGACGTTCAAAGCAGGAGCTGTCGCCTGCAGGCTTCAGGCCAGCCAAGGCGGGTGCCAGTGGGGGCCCCCCTATCACCCTGCTGGCCGCCCCACAGATTGGCCCTGATTGCTGCCCAGGCCTAGGGACCCTACCCGTGTACAAATTTTGTGCACTGGGCCTCTAGTTTAACTATAACTTTCCTTAGTTTTCCTGTTTTAAAAACCTGGTGCAGAAGCAAGTGCTCTAAAAGTGTTCATCTGATAAACACATGTATTCAAAACTTGTTCTATGAATTCTGGTAACCACAAACTTTGAAAAAGGAAGAGGGTAGGGATAATTTTACAAGTCTGCTCTTTTTTGGGCAACTATAATCTCTCCTTGGGAAGTCCTCCAATTCTTGTCCCAAACTTGAAAGAACTGGGGCAAGAGAATCGGAGCAGGATGAAAAGAGATGTGTTTTTCAGGTTGATGTAAAAGGTGGTTCAGGACTAGACCAGAGCCTTAAGTCCTTTCAGCTCCAGAGTCACAAAAAGGGCGGGCACAGTTTCTATAGCAACGGGAGGAGGGTGTGGCCCTCCAGCTGCACTCCCAGGCGCCAGCAAGGTGCCGCTCCTCCCAACTTCTACCCCCACCTGAACAAAGGGTAAGAGAGGCCACAGGGGCTCGCAATCCGCAATCCGCTAGGTCCCAGTGGCCCTTCCGGGGGAAGAAGCAACCAAGGCAATGGGGGAAGGAGGTTGGGTAAGCGGGGAGAATGAAAGGCCTACAGAATGCAAAAAAGTAGAAGGGGGCATGGGGGTCGGAGGAGAGAGGGGAGGCTCTGAGTACAGAGGGAAGGCAAGTAGAATTTTAGATCTTGCTCTGAGCAGCTGCATCCTCACAACCCAACATTGACAACGTTTCTGCTAATGGAATGTTGCATCGCTGACTTCAGCTGACTGCGGGTGGGGAGAGATGGATTTTAGGGAACTCAAGACCTACCCTAAAACTGCTTCCAACCCTGACCCCAACAACCCGGGACACAAATTTCCTACCCCCTTTCTTTATGTTCACTGTACGTCCAAAGTGAGTCCCTGACCATTCGTGGATGAGGTCTGGCTGCTGCTAGCCTATTCCTACCCAGCCCACAGTCCCACACCTCCCAGGCCAAACAGAGCCGAATCCTCGACACAAGAGCACTTTAAGGTTTATCCTTCAGAGCAACACTTTCAGGTGCTATTTGCCACTCCTCGGGGGTAATTCCCAGTATTAGGTGGGGTTTTTTTTGTTTGTATGTTTGTTTTCCTTAAAAAGGGGATGCAAAATTTGGGATTTTTCTTTTTTAAGTGTAGTTAATGTGTGGTATTTGCTACGTTTGAAGTGTCCATCAGCCAATTCAGGGCTTAAGTAACTTGTGACCCTTTGGACAATTTTTAAATGACTGACAGTCCACACAATCTTAGTTCATGCTTCACTGTTCAGGTTTAAAGGGAAACTTGGCAAAAGTGTGAGGCCATTTAAATAAAAAGTTCAAACTAAGAAACAACAAATATAAGTGTCCCTTGTGACTAGTCAGTCTTTTTTTAAATTATCTTTATGGTTGAAAGTATTACAGATGTCCCCTTTGGTGTTCCCCCTCCCCCCCATTAATACCTCCACCTGCGGCCACTCCTCCCAAGCCTTCACCACATTATTGTCTGTGTCCATGGGCTATACATATATGCATATAAGTTCCTGGTTAATTTCTCCCCCCCACTCACCGACCCCTGCCTTCCCTCTGAAATTCGTTAGTCTGTTCCAGGTTTTATGTCTCTGGATCTATTTTGTTCATCATATTCCACATGCAGTCTTTCTCTGACTGGCTTATTTCCCTTAGCATAATACTCTCCAGGTCCATACATATTGTTGCAAATAGTAAGAGTTCCTTCTTTTTTACTGCCAAATCATTTCCACTGTGTAATGGACCATAGCTTTTTTATCCACTCATCTGCTGATGGGCACTTGGGCTGTTTCCAACTCTTAGCTATTATAAATTGCACTGCTATGACCATAGGAGTGCACATATTCTTTCTGATTGGAGTTTCTGATTTCTTAGGATATATTCC